CGTGTCCTTTTTGTTGAGAAAGTAGACTTGACAAAGTGTTTAACACCTCTGTCTTGTCTACCTTTCGGGCCAAAATTGGCCTTAGGCTTTTGACACGGTCACTCCAGCACCCTCCGCCTACTTTGAGTGGCCTTCACTGGAACTGATTACTTGAGGATGCAAATGTCTTGCATTGTCATCATTTGTTTGATGAAAAATCACACATAAAAAGCAAAATTTTTATCCCATTGCATGCATACCTTGTTTGTTAGGGCAGAGAAGTGGTAACTTTATTTCTCCACTTTTTTAAAGTGCTGAATGGAGCTGCTGTGCAAGCGCCTTTCTTAAAGACAAGTAAAATCTTTTGTAGGTGAACATTTTTGTAAGTAAATTATAATTTTTGAAGTCTGTTACTGTTTTTTGGTCTTTTAGGGTGAAAAGTATGACGGTCGAATGGCTGATGTCTGGTCGTGCGGTGTCATCCTCTACGCCCTACTGGTGGTAGGCGACAAATTTCACACCAATTCATGCCTCCCCTTTGGTTCACTAAAAACTCAATTAGTGCTCTCCTTTTTCCCCCAAATTATTTATTTTTTTAGTATGAAATCAATTTTAGAAGTTGTTGTTGTGTTTAAGTTGGGTGAGGCGGGTTTTTTGTGTTTTCCCTCCCAACAGTTAGACTTTTTTTAATTTACCGGTGTTGTTCTTTCTTTTTTTAATAATTTGTCTCAAAGAGGGCTGCTTTAATTCAGTTTACTTCAATATTTCATGAAATAATCGTTCTCTAGTTCTATAAACACAGCTATAACTTATTGCCTCTTGTTTAAATTAGGGTGCTCTTCCCTTTGATGATGAAAATCTGCGCAATCTGCTGGAAAAGGTGAAAAAGGGAAGCTTTTTGATTCCTCCATTTGTTCCGCCCGATTGCCAAGCTCTCCTCCGAGCCATGATTGAAGTGGATCCGAAGAAAAGGATAACCGTATGTTTGGTTACCAGGCCACTGATTTTACCATCTAACAATTATTTGTCCTCTAAATGCCCTGTTAATTGCACACCTTTTGCCAACAGTGCGTAATTTATGCAACCAAAAAGGTGTTCGCATCCAGAATGAACGAATTTTACATCACAAAAGCTTGATTTACCTTTCGTTCTTTCTTTTTTGTAGCTCAAGGATGTCCTTGAACACTCGTGGGTCACCAGGTGTGTTGATGGGGTAAAGGGGAGTGTATATTTTGGTGAAGTGGGACTTGTAATTTGACGAATCATCAAATTGCTAAGTACCTTGCCAGTATTCATCCACCAAGTGATGAAGACTCATTTTTGGGGCAAGTGGTTCACTCCACGCCAAAAAAAAAACACACTGACACCGACTTCGCATGTGTTTGCCTCACCCGCCGTTCGTTGTCCCACCGTGATCGGTTGGGTTGTAGTGGATGAAGCATTGGAAGGGGGAGAGGTGGTGGAGATGAATTTGTAGATCACTTTATTTCCCATTCGGTGTGACTAGGTGCGTCTGACAAGATGAAGCAACTGACTTCAACTGTGCCTCAACACATTTGTCGTTCAGTCCATGAACAATCGCTACCTCTGATTCACTCACTTTCCCATCCACTAAGTGCGTCTAGAACACCTACGTAGGCAATTGGCTTGATCTGCCTATCTTGACGTCTATATTGTTGCCGATTGAGAATTTAAATGTGAAGTTCTACAGACAAAGGAGACTAACAGTGAGGACCAAATTCTTCTCTTGCTAGTGACCAAGAGCCACCGCTACAAACAGAACTTCCAATGTCTCAGGCTGTGCAAACCTCCATCATTCCATCTCGCGAGGACGTCGATCCCGATATATTCTCCACTATGACCTCCTTGCAGTGCTTTAGAAATGAGAGTAAACTCTACGATGCCCTACTTTCACCCTAGTAAGTTTTGCTTTTGTGTGGTTAAACATTCAAACAACAATCCAATTCCTATTAAAGCACACAGACAACACGTCTGATGCCTTGGCTTGAAACTTTAATGAGATTGTGACACCTCTAGAGGTAAGGCGTCAACTATCCCATTCTATAGTCTTCAATTTGGGGGATTTTGCAGCTATGCGGAAGCATTTTGGGCATTTTACCGTCCCTTCGAAGTCATTAATTCCTGCTCAGAGCGGTAATTGAGACGTCATTTTTAGTTCGTAGACGTATTTATTTGCGTTAACTGCGTACATTCAAGCTCGTAGCTGATACACTATCCACGTTATCACGTGACTGGAGGAGGCTTCATGGCTTGTTGTAAATTTGCTTGCAATAGGTTTGTCGGATGGTGGGCAAACAATCTCGACGATTACTTCTATACAACTATCGTCCGTCAATCTGACTGTAGATCCACTTTAATTCATCCTCTCTAACACCTTTCACTTCCCTTCACTCATGCTATTGGCGCTAACAATGCTCTGTTCACATCCCAACTGGAAGCGGTTCATGAAACATTCTTCAAAGAAATAATATTAATTCGCGGTAGTTTTCTTCGTCAAAAGAATGTTCTATTCTTGTTCTTACAAGTTGGTACAGAGGAAAGTCAACTGGCATACCACATACCTTGTACGGCCGCAAAATTGGCCCGTACGAATGAGGGAAGAGAGGGAAGCAGAGCGCATAGAGGAGGAGGGGAGGAAAGATCCTGCCTCACCAGCAGCCTCTGATGCCTTTGATATCCTTCTTCAAGGTTTAAATGTTGCCTGCCACCCTTCCGAGGATTCAGATATTCACATACCGACGAGAATGGGAAATGTATTTAAGACAGACAGAGAGGCTATTAGTGCTAAGTTCAGTGTATCGTTGATGAATGATTATCTTCCTGCAAATTTTCCATCACTGTTTTGTGCAAACATATTTACACAACTTATGAGAGTTGTAGTGGAAAGGGCTTCATTGTTGCTGCCAAATGCTTTGAAAAAATGTCATTTAAAATCACCATTTTGTCGACAGTAAGGGAATGGAAGAGCGTTTTTTGCGCTTAGTGAATGGTAGCTAGGAGACCGGTAGATGTGGACTATTCTCTTTTTTTAAATTTGATGTTATAGTGATAAAATTAAGCTGTCTTATCACTTTTTCATTGTATCAGCCCCTAACACATTCCTCCATACTCACAAGTACATCGAAAAACAAGGTAGAAAGTTACAGTTGTGTCTGCTAATTTCCAAATGAGCACTTATCCACAATCCGAACATAAAAACGCTCATAAATTTTATATTTTTGGATCGGTTAATAAATGAGGAGATGAAGTTCCAGTTTGTTTGGTTTCATCTGGAGCTGCAAAATTTTTCACTCAATGCCTCGTGGAGTATAAAATTAGAGTACTGGCATCTAAAAGTATGAATGCGACTAAGAACTTAGTTGAATGTTATCGGTAGATTTCGTGATAGAGATAAATTTAATTGCCTTCCAGGCGGAGTTTCGATTTGTCCTTGTTTTGGCAGTTCGATGTAAATGTAAAAAATCAGATTACAGATCCATTTTAAGGTTATTTTTGTACAGTTAGACAAGGGCCTGTTTCCTTTACAATTTTTTTAATTCTGTATAAAAATCATGAGATGAGTAGTTGAATCGTACTTTTGATGCATTTGTTTAACTGATCCACTTTAGGCGCACACAATCAGATAAGTACTCGGTCTGCTTTTCGAAGGTCTGTGTCGTGGTGGTAAATCGACAGACCTAATGCCACAAATTTTATCTTGCTTTACCTTTTGTTCTTAAAGTAAAAGCATAGCCAAAAATCACAATTTTAGTCTAATAGTCCTTATTTAAAATAAAAGAATGCTTCCCTCGGCTCTGACACAAAAAGTCTCTTTTTCGGATACAAAAATGTACTTTCTGATCCTACGGTACGTGCACATGCGTTTACATTATGGAAGCATTAGTTGCATAATTGGACCTAACTTTACGAAAGGTTATTTCGTTGGATCGGCCGCGGCTTTGGTGCATGCTATTTAAGATCTCCACATTTGTATGAAACGCTCTGCCATTGTGGTGTCAAAGGTGTCCTTCGTAAATGTTAATGTCGAGCTTCACATTATTGCCTTATACATAAAATAAATACTGCAGTTTAGATAATTTTCTTATTTTACAATATCTAACCCATAAGGGGGTGTCATTATGCGCTGCTATTTGAGCTGTCAAGTGGTTGTCTTTATTAAATCGTAGCTTGATTGTATCCAATTCTTCTAACAACCAATTTTTTCCCCATTTGAATACTTTTTTGCATTATTGTTTTGTTCATTTTTTTACAGAAAATTATAAAGGTTAGGCTTAGACCTAAAAAAATAGGAATGGCGCATTATTTTTGTATTTGCCAAAAATCTGTCCAACTCTTTTTTTTTTTGATTAGCCACAATACAGAGAAGGTGATATACTTCCTCCTGCTTGATCGGAAGATAAGGAGTCCGTGCTATGAAGATCCCGATGAAATTCGTTCTCGGAGCACTACAGGTGAGGCTAGGACTGCTGCTCCCTTTCTTACTGGCTTTTATTAACTTGGCTGGATATTTAGCACTATAAAAGGCAAATTCACCGCTACAGAAGGACAGCTTTTGGGTGTGTAGATTTGTGTGAGGCGGTGATTCACACTACCTCTCTTGCTCCCTTCTGGGAGTTGATGACTTCATTTGTATCCCTCTGTGTATGTGAATGTGCACGAGATGCCACTGTCTGCAGTTCCTCGTGTGTATGCATTATCCAACTCCCTCTTTTTGCAAAAAGACGGGCATCATATTCTTCAAAACTAGTCTAGGTATGAAGAAGTGAACAGTTTTTACCCAATTTTGATGACATGATAGTTACTAGAAATGCAGCACTCCATTCAAAAGCGAGTAGAGACATTGGATGTCAACTCTTTCCCCTTGAAGGACCCATGTGTGACTGCAAATTGGTTTGTCAAGATTTCTAAGCTACTTTAAGACGATACTTTAAGGTTCATTGTACAAATTTAATAGCACTTTTCCTTTGCACTGCTTTTTTAACACCCTCTTAGCGCTAATGCATTTTGCCTCGTCGCTCTTGTTTATAATACTAAAGTATAACTCCTCCTTTGCTATTTTTATGTCCAATGTCTCTTCAGTTGGGATGTGCCCGGTAAAAGGTAAGACATTTTTCCCTCCATTTTATCCTCTCATGTTATTATTAAAAAAATGCTTTGATTCCATGTTGCGCCTTAAACGACATTTGATGCCTTACAAATGGCCAGGGATGAAATTGGGGACTTTGTCAGCCTCTCTGATTACCAAATCCGCTGTGAGCGTGTCTATCACCCCCTTTTTTTGATACTCCTAATCTGGCAAAGGGTCTATTTTTTTGACCCAGTGGACACTCAATCCACTTATCGCCACAATAAATCAGCTCGCATCTAGTTGCGCAAATAAATATGTATGCTTTGGGCAAGTTTATGAGCCTTTTTGGACTGCTCTGTTGTGGCCTTGCATTGTCATCGAACGTGTTAGCAAAACACATCCTTACGCTCACGTGGGTTTATCACATTCATCTTCATTTCATGCGATCTTGCGCCTAACCAAGTCAGCGTTCCTTTGGTAAGGAAAATTGGAAGGGTTAGAGCACAGCTCCACCATCTGTTGGTACGCACCTCGGCATTTTCGTTGTTAAATTCCTAATTAACTGCTATAATTAGCTTTTTATTTATGCGTTAATAAGCACTAAAGAGGGGAAAAGTGGTTGTTATAATTTATCGCGGGAATAGTGTATTCAATGGTGGTAATTCGAACGATTAAACCAATGCTACATCCAGGGATGTTTACAACCCCTCCTTTTGACGGAACAACCTCTTTTCAACCACTGCCACGCAATCATTCAAAAGACGCTTAATAGGAGGCGCTCATATAAGTAGTATTTCAAATTTATAAAGTTAGACAGAAGGTTAACTTTCTCACTTTGTTGGTGTTTTTCATGCCAAGATCCACCACGCAAACGTATTGATAGTTTGCGGATTGGTCTCAACGGAACTGTGCGCCTCTCGTTGGGGGATCTGAGCGAGGGTTCCCCACTGGCCGGTCGCCGTGGTCTGGCGGTTCAAAAATTGTAAGTTTTGTGCACAAAAGAGGTGGGAGGGAGAACAATGAATTCCCCATAATTTTCTCATGAATTTGTAATGGTAAGCGCTTGGCTTAGGGATTGCTGGACAAAATGAGGAGGTACGATTACTCCTCCCGGCTCCTTGTAGTGGGGTAACAATTCAATCATTTTCTCGACACTATGCCCCTTTTGGTGGGAGCTAAATGATACGGCTAGTTTAGCCACTTTGGTCCATCGATTCTGCTTTAGCTCTGGTGTGAGTAGATGGAAAAGCTGACGCAAAACTCCCAAGGAGGGTGTGGCAGGATAGCCCTCCGCTTATAAATGCTCTGACGACGAGGTTTTGGGGGACGGGTAATTTAAAGGCGCATCGTCTTGAGACCGATCCACCGACACAAATGCTGCCGGATTTGGTCAATTTTTGAACCCCGTCTTGCAATCACGATCCAGGCGTTGTGCCTTCAGATGAAAGATGTGATTTGGGGAGAGCTTAAGTGACACCGTAATTAACTATCATAGCTTAGCATAGCATTTTAATGGGAGTATCATAAAACCGAATAGTTTTAAATTTCAGCATGATTTTTAATGCAAAGTAAATAAAATGCACGAATGCAGTATTTGAGTTTGCTCGCTACCCAACGTAGGGCTCACCACTTTGCAATCCGACACACAACGCTTTTATGTGTATGTGCGTGAATCGTTTACTTGTAGAGTTTGAAAAGTAGGCACATCGCTGATCTAACTACTCCGGTGGAACTTGATACTGAGGTAGAAATTTTTATTTGAATTAGTCCACGGAAGGCTTTAGAAGTGAGGCTAATCCAAGCTATCGTGTAACACGACAGAACGCGAGCCTTGATACATCATAAGCGTGGGTTGCGTGAGAGGAGACCTCACACTGCGATTCAATTGATATGGAGAGATGGAAGTGGTGAGATTTACCGCCTCGGACCAGCCTCAGTCATTTTCATTGCCTTTAACAGTACTCTGAGCTCCGATCGTTCGTTACAGATGTGGCATGATGTAGGTCCTGCTTCAACTTCTGAGGGTATAAGTTGAGGCTTCAAGAGGTCCATCTGGATAGCATATTTGGTTTCTTTTGCCACTTTTTGATTTACTTTAATTTGGAACGTTAGCTACCTCCAAAGCAGGTGATTTTACGCAGTGGATTTTTCCAATTGCTCGCATTAACAGCCAACTAAAAGTGAATCTTCTTTCTAAAAAGCGGATTTTTAGGACTTCCTTAAATGTGTATTCACGTGTCACGTATATGCGCGTAATTCTCCAAATGCCGAACAATTTATCTTCTTGAATTATTTTTCCATTCGCTAGTATTTTGGCATTTTGAGAGCATATTTACTCTCTGCCTCTGTCTCTCCTCTCTCTCTCTATTTAACTTGCTCCGTTTTTCGCACCTCTACGCAAAATTGGATCCATTTGATGCACTTAACAACTCGATCTTTCCCTACTGCACCCCAAAAGTAGAAGCTTACTGTTTTGACTTTAGCAAAAGCATCTGTAAGCCAACAACAGCTGCTTTTTATTAAAATATCAGTCCAAATTTTATCATGTTCCACAAGTAACTAAGTAGACTGCAATTATTTAGCAAAAGTAGTTAAGCTAAAGTTTCGTTTTGTTTAATAACAACATAAAAACATAAAGCAGTTAGTCCATACAATCTTACACGGGTTCTGCAATGAAAGCTGGATTGCTCGTTTATTCTTTAAATGAATCAGCAAACGCGTCCTTTAGAACAGCGTGTAAATATAACTTTGATGTGGCTGTTGTCTTGAGCGTTTCAAGCGGCCAAATTGAGGAACCGGGGAAGATAAATGTCAAAATGGCATTCGGGATCACGTAAACTCTTCAATATGTAGTGGGGAAGTTTGGAGGCCTCTGTCATACACTTTTAAACCCTTGGCTAAAAACCTATTTTGCAGAACTCCAGTTTTGAAAAACGAATGAGCGTAGCTTTAGTAGTTAATGTTTTCTTTTCACTTTGTTGCCCTAACTGTTTCCTCTTCCCGTTTTCCCTCGTATCTCAGGTAGAGTTCCTAAAAGTGGGAGAAATGTGCCGTCGTCCTTGGTGTTTTGGTGTCGCAACTGTAGAGCTGGGTCACCTATCTTATTCATTCCTAATTTTTTAGAAAACTGTGGATCGTGTCTGTTTGATAGGTTTCAATTGCGGGCATTTTTCTCCGACTTTAAGAGGTGAACTAGAGTTTGCCTTAAACTGAGCAGTAAGTGAACAACATAGAATGTTGCACGACAAAAACTGGAGAGCGTAAAAGCTGCTACTGTTGCAAATCAGCTAACGTAAACTTCAACTTGCATGATATGTTGTTACAAAAAGTGCAAACTGTGGAAAGGGTAACAAAAATTGAAAGGTTTTACCACTTCTATTTTACCACAAGTCATGCGGTTGTTGCCATTGTCTTAAACTTTCGCTACGTGAGGTCTTGAGTCAGTTGTAGCTTGTCACCAGATGACATTCCATTTCGCCTTAAGGATGCCTCTATGCTGACACCGAGGGCTTTCACCTAGGTGTCATGTTATGCTGTGCCAGAAATAGGAATCCGGATGTAAGGAGAAGTCCCGCAAAGATATGCTGGCACATGTCAATCTAAGCTAATATAAGCTGTACATGGCGAGAGAGGCTTTAACCATTTCATTCAGTGTACTTTAACTAGTCATGCCTAAAAAGTACACTTGTTATTTTGACTTTCCCTTTTCCACATGAGTAATTTTTTTTCCCCATGGAAAAACGTAATAGATGTACAATTGCAAATCGTCTTTTTACAATATATTTTACACAAAATCTGTTCTATTTTGGGTTAAGTATGCCATTGACTTTGGAGGAAATGAAGGATTGGTGTGGCATTATTTTAGACGTAAACAATCAGCTAGCACCAATCTCGAAACTCGATCTAGTACGCCTGTTAGTCCAATCAGCTCACCTCTGAGTTACGTCAGAGGTCAACTGCGGACATGTGGTTATGAGACTTGCAGTCCCATCGAGGAAATCACCGACCAATACAAAAAACACATCATTTCATCTCCGACGCGTAACCGTTCGGACGCACCACCGATTATGCGGAAGCATCCAAATGTGCATCAGGGTCAGATTCTCTCCCCATCCCGCAATCAGCATCGGTTCTCACAGATTCGCCAAACTGCAACTCGAACTCCCACAGACCTGATCTCTCCAACAGCGGAGAGGAAAGGTCCTGTTGGAAGTCCAAACTCACCGACTCCAATATCTGCCGAAGATGACGTTTTAAGGAAGATTATCAGTCCTCAAAGTCTCACACTCATACCTCGACCCACAGTTGTCTCCGAGGAGAACAAAGAAACTACACCCACAAGGGTGGATATTCGCAATCTCGAGCAAAAGGTCAGACTTTTACCCTAAAGTAACAATCCTATTGATAAAACTTCGTGATCAAACCATTTTGTACGGTCTGCGGGGAATAAACTTTTGCCTTCAAATGTCTAGACACCAAAATTTTGCTTCTCCAGCCTTCTAGAACATTTGGTGCTCATTTTTTCAAACAAGAACTTCCGCTAATTTAATGTTGCCATCATAGTGGACTTTAATTTAGGCAAAAGTAATGCGAACGGTAGCCTAGTTGGATTAAAATGGAGTTGGTAAGTGAAGGCGTAAAGCGAATAAAAACTGTGGGCGGTGGAAAATGCATTCAAGTGCATTCCATACTATCAGAATGGAAGGGCTTTCGAAACTAATTCCCTTATTATAGGATGGGGAGACACAAATTGCATTAACGGTAGACTTTTTGTTATTTATCATCCACTGGCATCTGCTAGAATTGGGAATGCAATACAAATAGCGCTACTGTTTGTGGGGGAAAGCAAAATGATCCGTTCTAAGACCAACTTTTTGTTGCTTTGCTATTAGAAACCTTCCAATGCCAATGACTCGGATGCTCGGTCTGCCGAGTTTCCCTCCGGTGTTGCCACCTCTCCACTCTCACCACAACATTGGCGTGCTCGTCTCAATAGCCTTCGTATCAACTTTCTTGGCTCACCACGATTTCATCGAAAGAAGACAGCAATTACAAACACGCCACCAGAAAGTCCGGTCGAGTATAGCTCCCGACTCACGCTCAAAAATTCATCACGACGCGGATCTACAGCCACTCCTGAGGTCTCGCCCATGTACGTTCTCATGATTATTTTCGCTCTACTCTTTCATATCTCTCATATGAAGCACCATGGGATGGGATATTTTTCTCCAACCCTCCGATGGACCGCTTTTCAGTCGCACTCACTCCAGCAGTGGTATTTTCAGTGCTAATTTAATGCGGCTATCATCTAACCTATAAACAGACATTTTCCTAGTCGTAAAATGAATAGATAAGAAAAGACCTGCACGTTGCATATGTGACTTAGGGTGGAGACGCGTTAGGATGTGGGAGGTGGGGGGAGGGGGGGAAAGGAAGAAGGAAGAAGGGGGTGTTTACCCACCTCGGTTTCCTCAATAAGGGTGGTTTAGTAGCAAGCTCTAACCGCTGTCTTGTTTTTCCATACCGCCAGTATTTACGATTATACGTCTTTCACAGAAGCGGTCACAAGCTCATTAACATAGGTCTTGTAAAGATGTAGAGGAGATGCATTTCTGGTGGTGACCGATCAGCTCACCTAAGTAGCCAAACTATGGCTTCGAGGATACTTTAATTCATCAATTTTTATCGCACTAAAAGAATCGCCTAACAAATTCTGCCTCTTATTTACTCGTCAGTGGGTAGAGCTTGCAGCTACAGGAAACTCCTTTACCAGATTTTACAATTACTGGAACTAGACGGAAGTGAGGTGGGATGAGTGGGTAAATGAATGGGTTGGAGACGCATCCTGAGGTAAGATAGAAGCAAGTGTAATTTCAGGTCAGCTAGACAATACCCATCTTCGTAAAATAAAAACTAAAAGCACAAGTGTGTTGCTACACTCCCAAACCAGTGGTTTAGCATTAGTATTAATGACATTTATAAATGAATCCCTTACTGTTGGCACAAGCTTGTTATTGCTAGCTGCAGTTAATATTTGTCAAGGTTAGTGCATGTTTTGAGAGATAATTACATTTTTATTGCACTCTTGTTAGTAACCAATGTTGATGGAAGAACCGCCTTCAAATTGGAGTGCGATGATCGGATGGGAAGAGAACCAAACACATTGGTGGTTAATTTAAAATTACGACTGAAGGCTGGCTTGGCATTGGATGCAAGATGATCCACTGAACGGGTCTGCCTATTCCGGATTGGGGTCGGGGTAGGGGAGGGGAGGTGGGAGAGGGCACTAATGAAGGCGACAGAATTTTCTGCCTTCACTTATGCTCAAGTTGGTGTACTCTCTCGTTAATCAGGAGTGGATTGCCTTATGAGGTTAAAAAATCCTAAATACTAGGGATCAGTTGATGTCATATTTTGCACCTATCTGTTGACAAAAGAGACTGATAAAATGAACACGTGGGAAACGAGGTGAGAGAGATTTTATACACGCATTGTTTTAGTGTGAGACAGCCAATCTCAAAATCACGGCCTAGTTTATTGTTACGGTTAAGCAAAATGGGCGGTAGTGTGGTTCTGGTAGCCTGAACAGGAAGATTAATCTAGCTGGATCCCCGATTTTGACCACAGTATGCTTTCAGTGTGAGTTAAGGATCACTGGTCACCGCACTCTCGATCAGTGCCTCTTTCCCAGCTTACTCGGGGAGCACCGCTTAGCTGCAATTCAACACCTTCATGTAAACAACAAGGTCGCGTATTCAGTCTGTAAATTGGCCTTTTGGTTGGAGGGGCATCCAGAATTCCGAAATTAAGTCCTACTAAGGCACCTCTGCCATAAAAGTCTTAGCAGACTTGGTGCTTGCTTATTTTAGCCTCAGTAATAAGTCATGGTTTGATGGATTCCTGCCTCTCAGTCTGCATAATGGAGGTGCCAAGGCAAGTCATCGGAACAACAACAGTGTCAGCGCAATCAAGGTACCCGCCACACCGAGTACTGGCCGTCACGTCTTTCGTAGCAGTGTTGGAAGTGGTCACAAGAAGTCCGTCGCCTCACCATCACCACCACTAACACCGCTACCACAACCGATATCACCAGCAAGGAATCCACCTCGGGCTGTAGTCCAACAACAAGCTCACATCAACAGATTGGCTCTGTCCACAAGGAAGGCAATTGGAGCTACTAAATCGGGCATCCCTTTACCCATTACTGCAGTTATGCAGTCAAATGTTTGCAGTGTCCACAGTGGAACAGGACGAGATTACGGATGTGCAGTGAATGCTCTGCCACCAGAGGAGACAAACCATGTAGCCATGGTAAAAGGAAGGCCATTCAATCGCGTGAAGTCGGAGATAACACAGGCAAGTTGTAACTCTTTACAAGGTTCTTAAATTCACATACAACCATACTCTTAATCGGACCAAAAATAAACACACAACACATTTTTCATAACTTAAATGCCACACCTTCCTGTACTATTGGTGCTGTAGACCTTGCGGCAACAAATTGACGATTCCTTCGACGTCGGATGCTTTGATGGTGAAGCGGAGGTGGAAAGTCTCATGTTTGCACATCTCATTGTCCACCGATGTCACTGGATAATAAGAGAATTGATGCCAAACTCACACACATACACACCGTTTACTACTTCCGCAGTCTCTAAGTGTCACAAATTCTTCCTTTATAAATCTAAATGACTCAGTAACTGCCTCGGTTGATCAGGCAAACTTACAGACCACTTAAAACCGTAGTTACTAGTGCCTCCATCTCCATGAGTGTAGGAGAACTTTTGAACATCCCTTTACTTTTGTTGATCTCACAAATCCTGCTGGTGTCCTCAGCTCCATCCACAGCGCTTTCGTCCTCCTTTTGCCCTCAACAGGGAGGAAATTGGAACTGTTTAGGGGATGGGATTCTTTCCTTTTGCTAATAAAATAAATTTTGTGGAGGAAAGAGACTCCAAAATAGGTCGTAGTAAATTAAAAAGTGTCGGAATCATCGCTAATCGGGTTTTCTTTTACAGTTGGGAAAGAAAAATTTGTTTGCTTTTGCGTCCATATCTGTTGAGAGACTGAAAAAGGTTGGCTAATGAGGAAGAAAATTAATACCTGTCTATGGGGGGGAATGGAGGAATTTCGAACTCCCTTTTTTTTTTAACACAAAACTCCCCTGCATTACACAAAATATAATAATTTATAGTGCACTCGAATTTTGATTTACAAAAAAAAGAAAATCAAAAATCGTTCTCTTACTGAGGAGGTAAAATTGAATTTTTGAAGTTGTGAAGACAGTTTGAAATCAGTTGTGTGTATTTTCGGGTTTTAGGGGGGAGAGGGGGGTGGAGGAGGGAGGAGGTGCAGTTGTCAAGATCCATTTCTGACATAGATGTATTTAGCATTAATACGTCAATTTATCAATGTCAATGCTCTCCTCGGCTCTGCTCCCCCTCGTCCATTTTCCTCCCTCCTCCACCCTTACCTGTCCCAATTATTTCAACCAATGAGAGCAGAGTTGAGTTTATAGGGACTTGATGCGTGTGATTTGAACAAAGGCCTGCATGCATATGATTGCAGTAATGCGAAAATGGGAAATTTGCTAGGCTTAAAGAGGATAAAGGTAAGGTGGAGAGGGTGTGAGCAGTGTGGGTGGAGGCTACACCTCTCACTCGTTTAGTCGCCTCTCCTATCCTCGGTTCAACACGCATTTCAGTAAACAATCTCAATCCACTCCATCAACAGTCCCGCTCCTCCACCACTTTATTGACTAACCTCTTAACAAGTAGAATTTCAAGATGTGGAGTGCAGGATGGGGCTATTCTAGTAGACATGGAGGGGCATTGAAGTGGACTCCACTTTGCCCTGTCTCCTCCGCCGGTGCGGAGTGACCTTTGGGAGGACTTCAAACGGGATAAATGCTTGGAGAGGAGGAAGGGAGATCTGATTCCTATGGTTTGGGGCCTTTTTGATGATACTAGCCTGAGGTGCAGTGAATTAGCACCTTTTTTTTGGGCATTAAACAATCACGTACTACGGAGTCGGTGGGTACAACAGAGTTGTTCTTTCTCTTCAATTGTCAGAACGTTTTATCAAAAGGCATTTGTGTAGCAGATTTTTGTTCATTTGAAACACAAAAAAAAACAAGAGCGGTACTACAATGTCATTTCCTGTAGCCTTTTCTAGCACCAATGTATGGCAGTAGATGTGTTTCTGGGTCTCGTCTCACCTAGCCAACAGGTTTTGCCTGGATCCACTCGGGCCTTGTCCTGTCATTGACGAGGCAACCTCGACTTTCGTCTCCATTTCGTTGTTATGACCTTACATCTAGTGGTGCGAATTTTTTCCCGTCCTTTTACTTGATCGCAGTTAAGTAGGTAAAAAAGAAAAGCTCTGTAGCATATTTTCTTGCTCATACAACTTTCGAAGATGGAGAGGAGAGAGAGAGAAGGAAAGAAAGAAAAGTGTCTGTCATTTTACCACTCACAAATATCACTATTTCATGTGTATACCTTTCTAGCCAAGGATATGAGAAAAGTTTCTCGTTTAATGCTACTTTTAATTTTTATCTACCCACCGGAAAAAAAGAGGAAAGTGGAATTACGCATGAATGGCAAAGCGCTGCCCAGCCTCGATGATGCGCATTCACGAAATGAAATGCCACCTCCTTGAAGCACTGAATAAATTCCACCATCAGCTCGTTGCTTTAGAATGGAAAAATTAGTTTAGGAAAGATTAAGGCAAGAAAGTTGATCACAGACTTTGATTAATGACGAGATCAGCCTTGTACCTCAAGTCTGATGGTAAGTTTATTTTAACAATGCATTTTAACACGTAGAAATGCAAAAGAGTCCTGATGTAGCCCTTTGGTGGCTAATCTTTCATACCTCGGATTAGTATCACTAAGACGCCATACAGAGCAGTGGTGAGGATGGAGATGAAGCATCTCATCTCACCTTGAGAGGTGTCATAGTTCGTCTTACAGGTGATTAAGCCACCTTCGGCTTGTGGTGAATTTGTCGCACTGTAGACTTGGTGTTGAATGAGGGCCTTGGGATTACTCGCTTCCTTAAGGTGACACATCGTCTACCACCTTCTGATGGAGCTCGTGGTGTCGGCTTCTACAGAAACGCGCATCCTGAGCGCAAGTGAAGCCTCTTCTTCCTGGCACGCCAGTTGCCCTCTCATTTTACTTAGTCGAGTTGCTCAACCGGAAATAAATCACTTCGGCCCAAACCACTGAACTCTCAGTACAGTCCAACTGTCATCTCTTGATTGCGCTCCTTTTGACAAGGAATAAAAGCACGTATCCATGGGAGTCAAGTTGGACGATCCAGTTTACAGAAACCTGCAGCCTCTCAATGCCCAATTTTTACTTATTTTTCCCTTTCAAAGACGGTCAGTGGAAAAAAAAATGATTTATTAGTACTGTACAAAGTATTGGTGGTATTGAAAGGCCAAACGCCATCAACAATACAATTCGATCTGCAGGGGCTAAAAAAAAGTTCACCCAGAAGATCCCATCATCGAACAAATATCAGCCCACCTCACATTCTGCCCTTCTTTTGTTCCAAGAATAACCTTCGTAGGGTAACCTTTGACTGCCCAATCAGATGACTGACTTACACGACTCCCCTTTCTCCCACCGCTCATCAAAACAGTGCAACAACTCGCCTTATAAAGTATTCAGTAGTATCGAGAAAATGAGGTGAGCATTTAGCCAACGCAAAGTGAATTTTATATTATCTAGATTGTACCACTTCCTTCACTCTGCTATGTTGAGTGAAAATTTTACAGTAACTGCAAGGCCATAAGCTGGGCTTTTGATGTTGGTCTCGGAGTGTTTTAAGGGTGAGAACGAGTCTTCATGATGATGCAAGTCAATCATTTTCTCAAGGGAGTAAAAATGGACAAGTTTAGCTATCAGAGATGGGCTTTGAAGTTCACTTTTGCCATTTTGGAAAGATTCAACTTTGGGGAGTGTGTGACTCCGATATCTACTGAGGGCAAATAAAAACTACAATAACGATCCAATCGTTCTTTTTTTTTCTTTTTCTCCTTCTTTGTAGTTAAATCTAGCCATAAATATAAAGTTAGGTTAAAATAAGGTCTTTTGCCTTGTTGTTGTGATGGTTGTCAAAAATAGCCTTTCCCTTGCACGCATCATTCGCCTCTGTTGCAGTGTTGGTACACAAACTGTGAAATGGAGTCGCATTGAATGGCAAAGAGACTCTCCATGCTGTGACATTTGTTTGACAACCATCACATCGCCTACTACATACTCGCGGTACACACGACGCTCTGACCTTCTCCCTTGCCTCCTCTGCCCTTTCCCCGCGCCCCACCCCGCTCCGCTCCGACCCGCTCCCTCCTTCTCCTCCTTTTTAAAATCTAATGTGCTTGTCCTCACTCTGAGAGTCAAATGTCGTCAAATAATTGCATTGCAATTTCAAATTTATGCTACTTGTCAATTTGACATTTGTCATTGGGCATCCGATGGTCCAGGTTTACTTCCAAAATGGAACAATTCAATGCGTTGGAATAAGGACATTGTCCATAAATAAATGGCGAAAAATTATGGCGTTGAATTGTAAACGCCAAAGTTGATGATTTTTCAACCTTCATGATCTCACAAGGTTAAAGACCTTTTTTGTTGTACTTCTTTTTTTTGTTAGGTTTTACTCTCAACTCCAGGCGTAGTGCACACCATCCTTTCGCCAACCAGTTTTCGAGCGGAATACCATCGAGCTGGCAGCGGATCCAGTCTTTTGGCTCGACCAGTAAAAATGCAGATTGACATTGTCCGTGCCTCCACTGGACAAGCAGCTGTCAATAATGGCGGCACTCCTGACGGCGCCACTGATCGAGAATTGTATGCTGTCAGCTTTCAGCTCCTTTCTGGTACGATATTGTGAAGCTGTTTAAATTGTGATTCTACGTGGATATTTATTTTAACTGCACAGAATGGATAAGAGATTGGAGGTATAAGACAGCTTAAACAAGATGTTTTGCTAGTTACTTTATGGCACTGCCTGTCTCAGCCACCTCAGCAACTTTGGTGCTCAGGTTTCAGTCAATTTGTTCGACAGCCAAAGTGCTGGATCCACCTCTGTGGTCGCCTTCACAGATCAACTGTCTAACATGTTTAGTTTGCATTGTAATGCTTTTTTTCTTTACTGTGTATTAATTTTGTTTGGTATTACTGTCAGAGTAGCACGCCGTGTCTCTCCTAATCACATCATACAGAACAGTTGACATTAATGAAATCCCAACACCTCCTAGCCAATGACCAAAGTATGTAGGGATGGGTGAACAACGTGTTGGAAGGAGATCGCTGTGACACATATTGTGCTGAAGGAGTGGCACCACTTCCGCAATCCACTCCAGCGTTCCAATTTTAGCATTGCAGCTAGCAGTGGAGCTCTGAGCTAGCGAGAAGTGGTGGTCTCGTTTCGGTATCCCATTGCAGATATTCAACCGCTATCTACTACTTCCAGCCAATTAGTAGTAGCACTGACCTCTATGGTTTGGGGAGAAGATCAGTCTGGAACAGTAATCACTGGAAAGTACAAAAATTACAAACTTTATTTGGCTCTCCACCAAACTTTCACATATATAAAAAAATAAACAACTATCCTGTTCGAAGTAAAGCAAAGTTGAGCTGTCTCTTTCGAAGGTCCAACACGAAGGTTTAAGCGATTGTGTGAACAGCTTCAAGCCCCATTGCTAACTGGATCGGAAGGTCATAATTCAACTTCTCCTCATCGACCATCTCCTGTGCTGACAGTGAAACAGCGGTCCTTAGATAGCGCTACCAGTGGCAACTCAAAGACTGCCCCCGCCACAGTACCAATTCCAAGCACAAATGAGGACTGTAGTCAGTGGTCTTTCATCGATTCCGATGCCACAGTCGACGGTGCAGCAAGCAGTATCAGCACTCTGTGTTCGCAATTTGAAGCCACATTGGCTGGGAATGACTGCCAATTGGACTCCGTGATGTCTACCGCCGACACTGACACATCCAAACCAACCACTGCCGAGAACAGCTGACATCGTCCACAATCCAAGTATGTCTGTGTGCGTGTGTGTGTGTTTGTGTGGTGCTGAAAAATAGTCAAACTCTCTTCTCTTACTAAATTGCATAATTAATGAGAACTAAAAAACCTCATTCTGAAATGCTACGAGAAGCAACGAGTCTATCACGCGAGACTGCACTAGGCGGTAATTCGGATTGGCTGCTCGAGAGGAGAGGCAGGACCTGTCTGCTTCGCTATGGTCCATCTTTTCTTCTCTAATCATTGAAAATAAAGTGGTGTGAGAGTTGTATGTCAGAAAGTATAGACCCTAAATTTGATAGTGGTAAGGTCTTGTCAAACTTCTAACTGTCAAATTGCTCAGTATGCATTCCTATGACATGGAGAGCTGAGCCAGCTTACAATTTCGATTGATGACGTTGTCCTCAATGGAAGTTAAGGGAGAACAGAGCTTAAGTGATGCTAAGAGGGAATTTGTGGATTACCCAGTGGGGAATGAGGAGGCTGATGATTGGAATGGGAAGTAGAGCCACGCATCGTCTTTCCTTCCTTCCGTTCTCCCATCTCACTTGGCCTGGGAACGTTTTGTAGAATCATCGTAGTTGAACTAACTTCTAACGGATTCGCTAACGAAGCAGAGGACTTTTTTTTCCCACCTCCTCGTCCTTGGACTCGAGCTTAGGCAGGTGAGGTTGATGGGCTCATGTCACTCTCATTAGCTATGTACGAGGGTTCACAGCAGAGTCTCATGGGGCTGCAGTCCCCCTACAACCATCTCAAATAAGCGGTAAAGATTCGTTTTTTTTTACCCAGTACACTTAAACACCCAAATTTTATGTGCCCAAACTAAATCTTTACTCTTGTTTCTCCCTTCGCAATTCAGTTTGCAATAGTTATTATTTGTCATCTCTTCTACCAAACTAATCACTTTTAACCGCCAAGTTCTCTTTTTGCGAAATATTTTTGGTGCCTACGAAGTAATCATTTGCGCGAATATTGCACGTGAGATGGATTAAGATGACAAATTGAGGAACGGAAAAAATCTTTTTTTTTGAAGACACAAAGCCAGAAACTTCGTTTAGAGACGTAGATAGAATTTTTTTCTCCATAATGTTCAGTAAATTGCGTTAGTAATCGGCTATTTTTGTAATACTTTGTCTGTGTGACCATCTGATGTCTGGCGATCGTTGTGGCACTCATTTTGTGCCTCGACGCGTGGGCTGGCCTTCAGGCCAAGCCAGAGTCCAATCCCTTCTTCTCCATTTGGAATACGTGTACTCGGTGCAACCTAAAGCCTCCTTCTACCTAGTGGGAAGTCTAGAGACACTGCAACTTTATCTCTATTCCTACGAGGTCTTGTAGTTTTTTACCACTCGCTATCTAATGATTGTGCTTTAGCCTTGACGCTGTTGTAATTTAGTAAGTAGTATAGCCTCGAAAACTACTTCGGCTCAAGGCACAGCATTCTGTATCACGGCCAAAGCAATTGTTGTCATCTGACTTTTATAGGCAAATGGCGTGACTCTCAATTAGTAGCTACAAGTGAAGCGTCTAAATGCCGAGGCCTGGCTGTCACTTGGTATCGAAGTTACTTTTGGAGAGCATAAAGCAACACCTTTGACGTTTTTGAAAGCGTAGTAAGAAGTTGGCATGCGCTAGTCCCCAAATCACAATGTTGTTCTGCAATTTGTAAAGAGGAGGGTCATTAACTTTTAATTAACAAATGATTCGTCTAGGCAATTAACAGAAATAAATTGTATAGGCGTCAGAGAATGGACTGCCAGAAACTTGCACTGGCGTATTCACTTTTACGGCCACGGGTTATAAATTATTAGGCAACTCTCCTCCCATAGTTTGTAAAAACGGTTCTCATCCTGGGTGTTTCCCAAGGCAAGCGCTTGCATTTGTCAGCTGCGACTTTTGGACAATTAATGCAATTCCTATGTACCCTCCGTGTGATTCATCGTGAGACCATTCTGGTCGGTGAAGTGCTGTTAAATTTCCTTTGGCGCTAAGGTCTAGAAGCGAGGACACTGACATAAAACTGGTAAATTATTCCCAATTTAATGCATCTCTTTCGAAATGAAATGGATTTTTTTTCTTACTTCAGCAAACACAAAAAAAAGAACTAAACTCGGTTCGACGTCTCGTCGCCTTGTTTGACAATTTTTGAACACCAATGTTTTTGCCAATGAAGGGGCATTTTATTGCTTTTCTTTGGCTAAAATGCCTTAGGCACAAATCAACTTTTTGGAACTTCGGTTACCGTATTGTTCACCTTACCATCCCGCTAGAAACCCACTGCATCTTAGCTGCTCCGCATTCAGCCCACGTGAGCATTCGGGCTGTCCTGTGCCAGCCTAGCGAATCGAGAGGACCCGCTGGTGTCGATTGGCAACATCTGCATCGTCATCTTCACGACTTCCCCAAACTCTGGATTTCCACCGCAATTCGGATGACTGACTACTTCGATGGCTGTGCTTCACCTACACACATACACACACACACACAACCGATGCCCAGCGTTCTTTAAAAAGCAAAATAGGTAAACGCGACACCTTGTGACCTCTCCATTCGCATCCCAGTTAACGTTTTTGCTTTTGCATTTGGTAAAGTCTCGTCGATCCTGTGAATTGTGCACAAACACACACGCACACACACATTTACTATCTGTCAATAACAGCTCCTTCTACACCTTTTGCTTATATCCTTTCTCGTCCTATCTTCCTCCCTCGACCGTACTTTAGCGTCAGAATAAAGTATGTAGAGTACTGAGAAGCCTTTGTTCGCTTAGTCGACTTCCACACCTTTTTATTTGCAACAAAAATCGCAGTTTCTCATTTTCAAAGGATGACATAGTCCGCCTGTGATAAAAACTGCGATGTTGTCGAACACGTGAGCAGTGGGTTAATTGGCTAATGATTGATTTGGACACTTCCGTACTTGCAGAATGCATGGGAATTACTCCATGAGACAGGCAAAATTGGTGCTAAAATTCACTCTTAAATTTGATTGTGTTTGACCACGAATTTAGCCACCTAAATTCAAAAACAAGTCAAAGGTAACCTTAAATTTTGTTGAATGTCTGCATTACAGCTGTTTTGACTAAAGTCGCCTTGTTGATGAAATATATCTGGTGTTTGCAGATACAATCAGAACTGTTCTCTAACGATCTTACGCCCTTTGCAAAGGAGGCTCTACCATAGAGAAGTAGCTTGCCCTCGTGTAGTTGTTACGGAAACCGTAGATTCCTGCGTAGCTTCTGCCGCTATTGTCGACATCCCACTTGACAATATTCTCAGCAATCTATTGTTTGCAAGACGTTTTATTCGGCATATTGGCAGTATGACAAATTGTGTAGAATAAAGCATAGAGCAAGGAAATGCGTCCAACTTAGCATTTTGCTCGAGTTATCGCTCGCTGTTAGAACCACATTCGTTCTGAGTGTCTGCTTCCAGCCCTAACTTTGCATCTAACTTACTCGCACACTGCAATAGGAATTAAGGGTTACCAGCACTGTACGGATTATGCGGAAATATTTGTGATTGTCACCTTGTCTTTTGTTTTTTTTTGTGGAGCACTCCAAACTAGCACAAGCAGTCCGTGTCACCTAGGCTGGGCGCATAATACACATGCAGTAATTAGGCGGTAAAGTGTAAATGCGAAGGAAGGAGGAGGGTTGCACACGGGCTAGCATACCAATGATTTGGCCTTTTAGTTTTAAAGAACTTGCTTGGAAGAGGCCAAATATGGAGTTTAATCGACTTTTCGCAACTGATTCGTGGCCTAAAAGACAATTTTCACTGATAGCATTCCCTTAAAGTAGTTACGACATTGGTGATACGCGAGGTCAATGCTACAGTGGCCATTTACTTGGCCGATACACGAAATTCTTTTTTTTCTGTGTGATTCGCACTTAATTGCTCCTTAACCCTGCTTGTAATGCTTTGGTTGTGTGAACACTTGTACGTCTGACGGTCGCATTGAGCATTTGTCCCTCTCTTATACGCCACGGCTTACCTTGGGACCAAGCCAAAGACCAATTTCTCCTTCTCTTAGATGGTTTGAATGCAGTCCAGCTTAATGTCTTCCTCTGCATTGGGAGAAGTCTCAAGCAGCTGCAATGCTCCTGGCGCCTCCTCCATTCCACTCAAAGGATAGTGGATTTCGACTACAGTAGGCATTGAGCAGATTTTATGGGTAATTCAAGACCTGTACACTGTGTGTCGGCTGTGGGGTTCTAAAACGCCGAAATCAAGTGCTCGATGTGAAATTGACCATAACGAGTGCGTAGCTCACCCGAAATGTATATGAACGCCAACAAAACTGGTATGGTTCGATGGTAACGAATTTGTTATCATAGGTTCGAAAAATCTAAATGTGCGATTGTTGTTTTTTTAGCCTCCTAAAACAGAAGCATATGTTTTAATCTGTTTTAAAGCAAAGGTATTGTCTTCCGGTTCCCACAAAACCTGGGACCATTAAATCACAAGCAGGCAGGAAATCGCGAATGACTACAAAAAATTGCAATTTGTCATGATTATCATCATAAAGGCAATCGACAGACGCAGCACAAATCAAAACTTTTAGTTAATGGCAGTGGAATACGTTGTTAGTGTGACCACCTAGTGTCTGACGGTTATTTCAAGATTCGTCAGTACCTTGCGCGCGTGGGCTGGTCCTGGAGCCAAATTCAGTCTTGGTCCCTTTTCCCTCCTAGGACTACATGCATTTAGCTCCAATTAATGTCTTCTTCCATCCGGTGGGAGTTCTCGGGACGCTACACTAGTGATAGTGGAAAGCAAACTCGACTTTTTTAACGACTCCTATCACACAATCTACCGTTTGTACATATATCTACGGTGTGGAGAAGGCACATACATGTGGAATGGGAATAACTCTGATCTATTCACAATAGTAGAGTTGAGAATGATGGCTGAGTTTTCCACAAACACACCATTAACAGTTGAAATGACACCAACGTAATCAATCTGCAAGAGTTACCTGTCGAAATTCTCCCTACTAAGTTCGTGTATGGGTGGTGGAAGGGATAATACGATTCTCCTTATATACAAGACGGTGTCTGATACCGTTTTCCTTGTAACACATCTGTTATGGACCAGAGCTCCACCATCTGGTCTTGGAAGCATTTGGTGGACAACAGTGTAATACTCTGTTAAAGTGACTATCTGATGTCTGGCGGTTACTTTAAGGTTCATCTTTTGGCGTCCCGAGACTTTCAATAGGGTGGAAGAAGGGAATTAGTTAAGCTCGATACATGTATTTCGGAGAGAAGAGAGCAAATGGGCTCGAGCATGGCCCAAAGGCTAGCCCAGACAAATCCTAAAGTGATCGCCAAACCTCAGCTAGTCACATAAACAAAGTATTACACAGCCCATCTCCTTTTTTGAGTCACGTCCTCGGCGCTCCTCTTCATACATCTCCCGCGCCAGCCATCATAACATATTCAGTACCACAAGAATGCACTCACGAGCCAAACGCGTCAGTCGACATACAACACGAGACTGAGGAACCGTACCTGTTCTCCTCAGCAGCTCCAACAGAACCTGGAGTTACGTTCGGTCTGATAACCAGATTCGGGGCCGCATGCATCTGTTGATCATCAAATGCATCCAGGAAAAGTTGGTGTAACTCTGATCTACAACATATATGTTTCAGGGGAAACGGGATGAGCCACTGTCGCGTATGCAAGGAAAACTGTAGTGTCATTTCCGACACTTAAACACGGATTTTGTGTGGGAAATTCCGACACGAAACTAATCCAGATAGTTCATGGCAGTGTCGCTTCAGTTATTTATATCTTGTCTGTGGAGCACAGGAATAAGGTGAAGCCATATTCAGACGTCAGTCTCGACCCTTTCGGTGTGAGGGATTTAACGAGTTTCTACAATCGATGCAAATGCGTCTCTTCCACACCGTAGGTGCATGAAACACTGGAAAACTGAAAAATTGTCGGGTTCGCTTTCCGCTTCCACCAGTGTAGCATCCCGGGACTTCCCATAGGGTGAAAGAAGGCAGTAAATGGGGCTGGATACATGTAGTCTGAAGAGAACAGAGCAAATGAGAATGAGCATGGCCCGAAGGCCAGCCCACGAGTACAGGGACCAGACACGTATTTTTTTGCTAACTGTCTGCAACCGAAGCACATAATTTTAACATTATATAGCATCTTAATTACCAATTAGAGTAATATGCCTTATCGAAGATTAGCCAAATTAAACAATACACGAAACTTGGTCAATGTAAACCAAATATAATGACCTTGCAACTGACCTTTGCTAATACTGCCATTATTGAATCGCCCCATGAAGATGCGGATGATGAGGCAGCCGGTTAATTTTTTCACCGATGAAATTGACGGGCGTGAATGTACCGTTTTTTACCTACTATGTTATATGCTCTTTATACTATTTTGCATCTTTAAGCCGACTTTTGATTTCCAACGTAATGATATTTTGCCACGGAATAAATAGGTTCTAATTTATCGATGCATTACACCTCTCATTTATGTTAGTCCTTACAACTAACGATGCCTACGTTAGGTCACTATGCTCACAATCTTGAGTGCCATAAATTTTGTAAGCCCTATTTTTCCAATGATGGGCTCAAGTTGCTTTATGGCTACTTATATATTTGCCGGATTGTTATCGCCTTCGAATTGCCACACATGTCTGATTTCCCGTTGAACATAGGTGTCATTTGCTGAGCCCATTATTCGCAGTGTATATCAGCTTTTTTTTGAGGCTCTTTTGGCTGATCTAATTTAGTTTCAGTTTTTGTTTGCGTGGATGGAACTCTACTACCTTTTTATCCACTTTTATTCTTGTCAATAATAAAGTTTTCTTCTGGAAATAGCCGACCTGCTTAAAATGTATTCTACACATGTTCCTCATTCTTTTTTAAATCTCGTTTTGATATGCACCTGGATGTGCTTCGAAAATTTGACTGAAGTACCTTTCTTTTATGTGTCATGCACAGTATCACGGGAGCAGTCGACCAGAATCGAAAATATATTTGATAAACTGAAAGATAACAGCAATGTGTTGGATTTTCAAGTTATCATTGATCTGCTTGGGCATTATGCCCCAGATGTGATTTTAAAGGTATGTCAACTGTAGCGACCTCATAACCCTTTCCATAGCGTCTATTTTCCAGTCATAAGCAAACCACTTCTGAAGTAAACCTAAAGACATTAAAACAATTTTTTCGCTTTCTTCTAAATGGCACCCAACAAGACAAGATACGAGGTAACTGCAATTTCGGTATTTTTGGAGTCTTCGAAATTAAGCCCTTTCCCGCTATTACACGTTTGGTCACCTCCATGTGAGCTTGGATGATTTCAGAGAGATCCTTGAACAGGAGGAGTGGTCAGTAGAAAAATTGGGTTCTCTCATCAAGAAAGTAACCTTATCCTATTCGCTTCATAATCTTTGCTGTGCGTGTTTAGGATGTTCTTTCCTATGATCGATTGAATGAGCTGTTTACGCGAAGTCCTGCAGCCACAAATATGTCCACATGGCTGTTAGGCTTGAATTTTACTCTTGCGTCAAGAGCATTAAACCTTCCATCAAAGGCTCGCATCATGTCAATTTCAACTGGCAGTAAGTTAATTTGAGTAAAGCTAATTCAGTAGTTGATGAGGAGACCCTTAGAGAAGTATCTTTGGAATTCAAGCGCATTGCTACGTGTGACAAGAATTTGATTGACCAATCGTCTTTCCGCGAAAGCCTTACTGATTTCTTTCCAGATTCTTTTATAGCTGGTAAAATGCTTTTATCTTTGCCAGAAACTTAATTCACGTGATGGTAGGCCTCTTCAAGTATTTTGATGTCAACAACGATGGGTACATTGATGAAATGGAATTTTACAATGGACTCAACTTTCTACCTCGAGCAAATAAGGCTGACTCTAAGAGGCGTATGTTTATTCTTTTGCTGCTTTTAAAATTTATTTAATAAATCTTAGAAAGTGGTGGTTTATCTGAAGTAAGACTTTGAGTGACAATTATATAAAGCAAATGTCTTTGTGCACCAAGATTAGGAATCATAGTTAGCTCTGATAGCTAATTGGCTTTATTACTTAGGCGCTTATTCGCCTTGTCTAAAGGTATTTTTCAGATGTTTTCTTCACAAACCCAGGACGAGGCATCTTTTAATTCCACCGACTTTAACTCCACCCTTCGACACTTTGTACCACCACCCGTACGTCCACTTTCCGTCCGTCTTTCACGTTTCAGCGCTTCTCACTTTGAGTGTTCCTGAATCTAACGTGTTTTACAATCCTTCCCAAATGACTCCTTATCTCTAGCTCTGCCTGAAAGGTGATGGAATTTCACTGAGTCAAGTTTTTATCATCTCATTGCAGGTTCTACACGAACCCTCTAGTAAGATGTCCGAAGTTGTGAGTTTTTAAGCATAACCATTTTGCTTTTAATTGCGAAACTCCGTTACCTTTATATTTTATGTGAAGTTTAACTTGCTACTAGTTTCCGGATATTAGTAGTATGACTCGATTTATTTTATAGTTGAAGTGTACATCATTTTCGGAATTCACGGCCTGGGCTGCAAATAACCCAACATTTCTGCATTTTGTCGAATTTTTAAAAGCAGTACGTCCCTTCTCCTTGTTTCTCTCTCATTTATTAACGATCGCAGGGAGTAAAACCCGAATTTGTTCCTACAGATAATGCATGTCGTGTTTGGATTGCCCCTTCCTCCTTCAGAGTCGGAAACAAGCAAGATCATCATGTGAGTTTTTAACTGTTTCTCAGGCTCCTAATCACTTCTAAAATTATGCTAAGCCTTAATGAATTTGAGTTGGGCTTTGATTCCAGATTGTGGCTGTACTACATGATCGTAAAAAGATGCAAACATGGAAGTCAGTGGTACATTATCTCCTCGCGAAATTGGCCATCGTTAGCCATGGAAGGATTGAAATTGGTAATATTTTATCTAACATGTTCATAAAACTGCAACTGAATAAGACAGTCTCTTTGAGCCCTATCGGATACAATATTTTTAATATATTTAGTGGGAATATAATTTAAAACTCGGATCCTTATGAAGGATGGCGGTTTTTATTTGCCTTTCCTAGGGTCTGAAATTACCCACTCCCCACGAGACTTACGACCTTTATCATCCTGTTTCGATGTACGAGGAGTTGTTCAATGGCAGTCCTATCTCTAACACGTCGATGTCACTAAAACGAACCTCGACGTCGGAGAGGACGCGAAGATTTAGCGTTGCGGAGAGGGCGATTGAGAAACCTTCGCGTCACCATTTTCGCCTGCGAGGATCAACCAAATCCAAATCTCCAAATCATGAGCAGAAATTGCCAAAGAAAGCGAGCAGAGTCATGAGTCATCAATATCAGCAACGTAAATACAGTAGAAGTGCCACCCTTCCGTCGAATCCGTCCTTAGAAGGTGATACCACGTTCTACAGCGGTGATGCAAAGTCGAGGGAGGATGTGCGGGTAGATGATTCTTTCCTCTTCTACCATCAAAATAATGTGCAAAGTCTAAAATTTGCCTTATCTGTAAAGATACCGCCGTAAATTTTCATAACTTCTTTCCCTTGACTAGCCTTCGTCTCAATCTCTTGTCAAGCTCATTTCTAAACTTTATTAGTTTAATTTGTGCTTCTCATAGTGTCACGAAGTTTCCATCATATGCATTTGTTGTCTTTCGATTACACTTGTGATTCCCCTGCCTACTATTGTAACAATATGGCTGTAATTCTCAAGCAACGCTCCCACCTTCTCATGAACACAGGCTGTTAAGATGCCATCATCAATTTTGTTGTGTCTACTTTTACGCACCCAAAATGGAGTCCTGTGTAGCATCTACGAGGCATTGTAATTTACTAATCTCTAGTCCATTGTTTTTAGCTATGTGCTCAAACGTTGGAAGAAAATCTGATGTTGGAGGAAGCACTGCAAAGCCCATTCATAGCAGTGGATAAACGCCTGGCAGAACGACTACAACACCAGAGTGTCATAAATACCGACCCCATTGGTATCAATAAGAAGAGTCAATTATCGCCTAGTTATCTCATTCTTTACGCACCAGTACAGGACGCTTCAGAGGCAGAGGCAATGGAACTACATCCCCTCCAAATCTGTGTCCGATGGACCGTAGGATGCAGACCCAAGGTCTCCCCCACCACGGGACTAGTCATCGATACTGGAGTACCGAAAAAGCCGCGGTTTTGTGCCTCTTCATTCATGCCCAGTGAGTTCGCTTGACCGGCCGTCGATCCGGTTGAAGTTGACTTATGATTTGAAGTCACCACTTTATTTACTTTATGCTATCTTATATGATGTCTTGTTAGGTGAGAACATGCGGTCTGTAAAGAAACGTTCAGTGAGTAGGGTCGAGAAACCTGATCTGAAACCAAGTACGTGGTCTTTGCCATTCTCTTCACTTTTAAGAACAAAAAATTTGACTAGCCTTAAAATGCAAACCACTTTTTCCATTATTAGCTTGGAGAGAGCGCAAGTACTCAAGAGCCTCCAAGTCCAGTATTTTGACACGTAGCACTTCTGTGCCTGGGAAGCGTGATTCTATTCTCAGCCCCGACTGTATTTACGTGCTTCCAAAAAAGTTGTCAGCGCAATGCCTACGATTTGCTTTTTCACGATGTCATACTATTTTGGAGGTGTGCGAAGCGATTGCCAGGAACTTCACCGATTACTGCAATCGCGATCTTACAACTGACAGTTATCGCCTGTGGTTTGTTGATTCCCCCGAAAGTGCTGATTCTCCGTCTCAGAGGCCAAAAATGAGTCAGATCACAAAAACCGTATCCGCCAGCTCCGACACAACAGACAGTGATGACGATGAGGGGGATGGCAGCTCTGGTGGCACCCTACTGGCCAAACGAGTATGCTTAGCTCCAATCAATCCCAACGCGATTGGGGGTCAACAGCTTGGCAGGTTTTTGGCAAATCAAGATCCATCAAGTCAAGTTTGTGCGGACATCTTCGACCCCTACGGAAAATGCCCCAAAACATTTGAATTTGTTATCGAATGTAAGTTGTTTTTGCTTCATTCCTAATCTGGATGGTTCGTTTCAGGCCTACAACAGAACTACTACTGGCCACTGGGACAATGTCCAAATGAAGGTAAGATCCTGTTTGGTTACATTCGTTTTGATGATTCCTAGCTGGTAATTTTGTCGGCCTAAAAAACATGGGCAACACGTGCTACTTCAATTCGGTGATTCAATGCCTTCGAGCGACACCTTATCTTGAGCGCCAAATCCGAATGCGTGTCACACCCCAGAATAAGTAACAGTGGCAGTCAGTTTTGTTACCCATTATCTTGTCATAGGTTAGCAAATGAATACGTAAAACTTCTCGACCAAATGAAACAAGAAAGGTGGGTAAATCCACGAAGTTTGCGGGTAAGTTTGTTGGAGTTAAGTAAAAATTGGTTCATGTCACCTCGCGTTTGTCTGTGTGTGTTTTCTTTATAGCAGGTTTTTGTTCAAAAAATGCCCGCTTTTGGACCGTTTGTACAACAAGATGCTCATGAATTTCTCACACTATTTATCGACCTACTTAACGAGGAATTGAAGCACAAGCCCACTTCGCCTAAGAATGGCACTCTTAGGTCTGAGGATAATCGGAAAAGGAGCGTCTACACCAAGAAAATCTTCTCCGCCTCTGTAGGCTTTCTCTTTGCTCCTGTTATCTAATTTTATTGCAAACAATTCCAACATTTAGAAACAGAACGTATTTCGTGAGAACAATGACTCGCCCATTACCAGTATATTCTCTGGGCTCTGTGAATCCCAGTGCCAATTTGACGAGTGTCGTCACAACTCATCGTCATTTGATATATTTGCAAGTCTAACTCTACCCCTTTCAGTGGATGAAGTTAGTTACATCATTCTCACCGGTACGTTCTCTTCTGGAAGAAAGATCTAGACATCCAGTCTGCCTCTGTTCAAATGCACTTCCATTGTTTATGCAGTTGTACCTTCCCACGATGCAGTACCGGAGATGGTACGATTTGAAAATGACAGACCCATTACTTTTAACTTCATTCGTCAGCAAGTCTCACGGCGATACAAATGCTCGTTGGATCAAGTCTTTTTGGCATTGTACAATGATAAAGCATTGACGGTAAGCACACGGTATTTAGGTCTTTCTGTATTAACCTAACAGAATCTTACCCAATCTATCTCTTACTCATTTAAAGAAATGAAAAGTTCTTATCAATCTGGGATATTTCCTATCATTAATTTGCCCAATTCAAGATGAGGGGTATTGGCTGTTGGCCCCGATTTCATTATACAAATACTAATTTCCTTCTCTGCTTGGTCCAGCCTCTCCTGCCTTCTTCTACGGAGTCGGTGAGTCCTCCATTTCTACTATGCGTTTCAGCTTTCTTTAAATCTCAAAATCACTATCACACTTTGCTTTTTTGGTTCAAAATAGGAAAAAGTTGTTAATAAATTCGATTACTGGGCATTTATTCTACCTCCAAGTCGCCCAGGTAGGACTTTCGACTAACTTAACCGACTGAACTTCTCTTCCAAAGCTCTTGGTTGATCTTCTTGTGAATTTTCTTTGCTTGCTGCCAGGGTCGCCAATCGACAAAGAAATGTTGGTTGTTGTACAAAATCGGATACTGGTAGGTGCTTCTCTCACGCCGCATTTTCCACTATAAGGTTCCCTCATCATCACCTCTGCTAGAAGAGGTCCCGGATGAGCGAGAGGTGCTTGGCTCCCCAATTGTACTTTTGTTACCTTTGAATACCACAAATAAGGAGCTTTATAACACCGTTGAAAAGGCTATAAATAGGTATCATCAACCCAACGATGGATCCAACAATAGGCCTTCAACCAGGATGCATTCTACCTCAAAATACAGGCAAGCCTTACTCCTCTCCAGCTAGAATGTATGCATAGTTAAAATGTGTTTTAAATGCAATGAGATCATTGAGGTGTAGAGCCACACCTCTGTTATGCTACCCACGTTTGCTACAAAGCACACGGCCTAGCTGGTAAAAGGTGTGTGCAGGCAAGCACTCTTATCAGTATCATGCGGTCCCGAGGCTCGTTAATCTTAAAACTCATGTATGGTGCGTCATTGATAGTCACAAGAGCGTACTATCACCTGTTATATCTACAGTTGCGAATAGGAGCTCATACTTCATCACCATATGTCGAATCATATATTCTTTAGTCTTGGGCACTTACATAATGGATAACACACTTGACTTTCATATTCGTTTAGCCTCTCGCATCAAGCATTGCTATTCTAACTTCGCCACCGTATATATTAATTTTATTTGTACATTAATTAATGTGCACAGATTACTGGCGTTATTTAAGTAGCAAGTAAAAAATTTTTGCAGTTAATAAATTAGTTTTTTGTTATTTTTCCTTTTTTAGCAATCCAGGTGATGAAAAGTTTTTTTTTGTACTCAAGCAGACGGGAAAACACCTTTGGAGGTGTTCCAAGTGTCGTTGGCCGAAGTAGGTCACCAGTGTTTGCCTTGAAATTTATTTTGTTTCCACATTGTTGTCGTCTTCTCTAACCTGATGTCGAAACCTAATTTTGCCACTTTCTGCTACATTAAATATTGCCTGCCTGGACTTATTTTTTGGAATAGGCAAGTGAATCCATAGACCGATTAATGGATTTTAATTGGTGCACTTATAAACAGAATGTGTCGTGGCTGTCCGATTCCGTACAACTCAGAGAAAGTGAGTTTCCAACCGTCTGCAAATGGCTGTGTCTACATTGCCGCTGACTGGAGTCTTGATGTTTACATCAATGAATATCGACAAGCTCAAGATGTGGTAGGTGTTTAAATACCAAGTAACAGTCTCGTCGTCTAGATATGGAAGAAGATTGACAAGGTTGGTCATACAGGTTCGAACTCAAAAGATGCACTTCAACTGACCAACCTCCTTAGAAAATTCTTCGAGGAAGAGGTTGTTAACCAAAGCGATAGTATTTTATGCGACCTTTGTCACAAAAAGGAGTCCTTCACCATGTACACTAATATCTGTGAACTCCCAGAAGTATTAGTAAGTCCCCCTCCACTCTGTCTGGTAGGCTCACATTCGTATTTTTTTTACAAAAAAGACGATAAATTTAAAAAGCTAAATGAATTTGGATTGGTAGGAAAAAGTTATGGATGCAGTGAGCTTGACAATGTAAAAAAATCTTTCCAGTTGTTAGATACATAATCGGCTGTTAAATATTGACAATCTTTGTGTTCCTCTTTGTAGTTTTGACAGCCATCTGGTCACAGACGCGTCGAGCCTGATTTTTACTTCTATTTCCATTCAAATAGTTGATCTCCTTCAAGAGGTTCCACGCAACTAATCACGGTTGGCGTAAGTCCTCAAATCTGGTTGACTTTCCGCTCACATCACTGGATATGCGGGCCTACCTCTCGAAGGATGTGAACTGCAATAACACTCTCTACGATCTTTACGCAGTGGTGAATCACACGGGCAAATTAGACGAAGGTCACTACTACGCCTTTATCCGTAATGAGGGTGGACACTGGTTCAGAGTCAATGACACGCAGTTCTCCGTACGTCACCATGCCGTTATTCTAGTTGCCTAAAGCTTGCTCCCCTTGGCATTCCCTTACCTCGGGGATCTGGGGAGTTTTTGTGAAGTGGTGTACACAAGTAGAACAGTTACAGTTGTGCTCAGCCCTTTTCACAATTGCAAAGGAATTATTGTCTCGTCGATACACTCAAGGCACGTTGTAACTACATCGACCAAGAAATGCCACTCCATTAAATGATTGTGGTAGCACTCTGAACTCCTGCTTTTCAATTTTTTAACTACAGCAAATGCAATTTTCGATGCGCATCCAAAGTGAATTGGGTGTATCCTCCTTCTCCATACTCTTAACTGTAGCTATCATGTGATCACACTTTAAAAGTTACAAGTGCTTTGACAGGAGTGAGTTGTTGAGCCATGGATGCACATCGTATGACTTGGTACCACTCTAATCAGACAGATGCACAAGTGACGTTTTGGCACCGAGTAGTCTTGTAGAAATACATTCTAGTAATTAGTAGGAGACGCCTCACCTGTTAAATGGATGTGCATCGAGGTGTCATTTGTGTCAATTGACTTGTCCTCGCCTCGATTCAAGCTCGAGGCGTGTTTAAGTAGTTTTTGATCTTCTTAATAAAATGAGAACCTCTGAGGATTGCATCGTTCTGCCGTACACTATGACAGTCTTAGCCATGGTTTGGAAAGAAATTGGACTATAAAACCGCTCCTCCTAAAGCCACACCATCTTTTACGTCGCTATAAATAGTCCCCTACCGTTTCGCCCAACAACTGCCCACAAAGTCCCACTTTTGCCTTCCTTTCAACTTTTTAGGAGGTTAGAAAGGAGAGCGTTGTCACATCGGACGCCTACATTCTCTTCTATCAACAGCGCCAAAGCGGTTAACACAGAATTGTGGCCGTCCTTGGACACCTTTCTCAACACTCCAATTAACCTTCCCTATCCTAGTTATTTCATTATGACTTGTTATTTTGGCTCCCCAAAAAGAAGGGAGTTGAACAGAAAATAATGTTTACTGATGCAGTAAATGTAATCAAAAATTATCAAAGTCGGATAAATGATAGGTTAGATATGGATGGGAGTCACTGCTATTCCTTTCCTTTCTGTACAGCCATCCGTATGTCAGTGAAGTTAAAGGTTAAGAGGTGCTGAGAAAATCGTTCATATCACAGTCAACTGCAGCAGCATTAAGGCATATTTGGTGGAATGTGTAGTAGTGGTGCTGTTTCTCTTGTATGCTAAAGGGTAGACAGTCTGGATGGAGGGAGGGAGGGAGGGATTAATGAGTGTCGGTACTAATTTCCTCTTGAGTAGAAAGACTTGTAGAGCAAATATTAGGTTTTACAGTGTCTAGGTGGGAGATACACGTTTGACTTGGAGACTTGATCCAACCGATTTGGAGCGTGCCTCTGCGACTGTGAAGGCTTTTGATGGTCTCGGAATACGTGAGCCCTCTGCGGGCATCCTCGCTACGGAGGAGCGTCGAGTTTGTGTCACCTTGGGTGCAGGAGCCTTCACAACTTTAGGCTGTTCCTCTAAACATGTGACCTTTCTTGGTGTAGCAACTGAGTTACGTCGTTTCATATTTGAAACACGGTTGCCTTGAGTGTGAGGATGGTTTTGTTGTTGATGCTGCTGCTTTAACGACGATGCAGGAGGAGAAACGATCTTTGGTGCCGTCGAATTCCTTGGCACATTGGCAGACAGACGCTCCCAAACACTCATTTTTGATACATCTACATCTTGTCGTGTTGGAGTATTAACACTGGGTGCTGGTACAAGATTGGAGATGGACTTTGCACGTTTGTCATTGTTCAGCATAGCGTTTCGATTGGATTGACTTCCAACGGGTTTATTTGTGCGTACAGCAGAGGGCGGATCATTGAGCGATATGGTGGATCTGGAAAACTTACCCAAATTGGGCTTGGATGAAGTCCCAATCGAGGCAAGGTTGTGGGTTGATGTAGCCCTCTGACGGTTGATAGGGCATGCACTGGATGAGGTGGAAATCCTCTGGACAACCGGACTGGGGCCCGGTTTGTAGGGCGAGGGAAGTGGGTTGGGCTTTGACCTTCCCTTTACCGGAGTTTTAGCCAAAGCAGGCTCTTTACTTGTGAGAGGTTTAATGTTTCCATCAAATCCGCTGGCTATCTGCATGAGATAACACAAGATGTCAGTTGTGACCCAGAGTGATATCATTAAAACTTTAAAACCAGTCCTAGAGATCGCTTGCATCAAATAATGTCAACAAGCTTCAACCAATAGGTAGCCTGTACATTCATACAAACTATTGGCTACAAAACGCTCGACCGGTTGACTACAGGCTGTTCGCCAATGCTGAGTTATGCAACGAATGCAAAATTCACTCACAAAGAACAAACCAACCAACCTGATCAATTACTGGAATGAGAGAGAGGTCTTCAACACTAGAAGTTGTAGACGCAAATACAGCCTCCTCTGAAGTCTCGTTTTGAGCAAAAAGGGTTTCTTTCTGCTCCTCGTCCATCTGAATAAAACTGTCAATTCGGTCCCTTAAAACAGTGTGCGAAATTTCACTCCTCTTTGGTTTGTCTACCGTCTAGAAATGGAGAAAGTAGGTGGTCGTCAGCGGTACAAGTGATAGACGTAACAACTAATTCTAGTCTACGCGACTCACTTGGCTTATTACTGGAGTCAAAGCCACATCTTCAATACTGGAGGTGGATGAGAGGAGTTTCTCGTCAGTACCGCTTTCATGCTTGTCTGACTTCATTGGCTCTTCTGCTGCCTTGGAACAGTGATGAGTAAGATTGCATTTTGATGGTGCTTTGTGAATCACTTCTGTAGTGGTATAGACCACTTCCCTTCCCTTCTTTGTCACTTGGAGGTTCCCTTCACCCAGAAGAGGACCCTGCTCATCACTTAGCCCTGTCGCCTGTTTTCTGGTACCAGAAACTGCACTGACAAGACTTGCTGTGTTGGCAGTATCCAAGACACCGTCTTCCGTTGAGCGTGAATGTCCTTTTTTGAATTGGGAACGCTTGTCAGTTGTTGATGGACTGTCTGTGGTAAAAGGACAATAAATATTTGACCTTTTCACAATGACTGATTGATCTGATTCGGAATGGAGTGAGTTTTGTTGAAATCCTAGACACTATCTATAAAAATCATAAGTTTCAATCCAACAGTTAGCTTATAAGCTCAAGTTTTTGCCCTTCCACTATTCGCAAACACACCTTTGATCCCCTCACGCAGTGATGGTAGTTCCCGAGATGGAGAGTAGTTGGTAAGACGGCATTCATATAGTTAGTCTCAACAAAAACCAACCACAAAGTAACACAACGCGAAAACACACTCACAGTCAAATTAACAAAGAGGAAATTAGAAGTCATCACTGAAAATGAATAAGCCTTTTTCAAATCCATGGATAGTTAATTACATGTGTAAGGCTTAATTACCATGGCAACGGCCATAAAACTCACTTTCATCAGGGACAGATTTGCACATAGATACACATACAAACACAGAGATACATGTAACTATGGTTAGTTGCTTGAACACTACCTCAAAAAAAAAAAAAACAAAGGCGAAATTTCAAGTCTGAGGCTAAGGGGTTTACACATGCGCCCACGGAATTGCATAACGCTGTCACTTTTGAGGGCGCAGACAGCAGACTGTAGGGGCAGACGTCAGCCTTCTGTACTAATCGCCTTCAGTTTGACATACAGTTGTGCCTTTTTATGGCCGCGTACCTGCCACCGATGGAGGCGAGATTGGACAGAAAACCAGACACCCAATTCGAAACGCGTGTCTGGTCTTAAACGATCTCATCACTCCAAATTCGCACTTAAGGCTTTGGAGGTGGAGGGAGCATAATGAGAAATCTTTCCATGTCTAAGTTTTAGCCAAGTGCTCTAAGTAAATGTTAACTTATTAAGAAGGGGAAAAAAATTTTTCTTCCTTAGTGTGACATGGGAAAACAAACCCATTTTTTGACTTCATTTCCATAAATTATCTCGTATCCCCACTAAAATTATGCACATATACGTGGGCAGGAGTGAACAAACAGACAAACAAATGCATGGGAATGAATCTTATTTGGGCATTTTCCCTCTCATACGCCTGATGGTGCTGCAAATGTGCCTGTCAGATTAACCTCGGACCGTCCACGGCATTACGGACACACACACACACGCAGAGAGTGAGAAGAAGAAGAAAGGACACCGTTCGGTAAAATAAAGCGCAGTTTTTCACCGGTCAATCGAGTGGACTTGAGTACCTCCATCATTCAAAAGTCGTTGATAGTCCAAGTCGCTAAGTGGACTGTGTGAGTGTTTTCACGTTCACATGGCGACATTTGCCTGACTAGGCAAGCGCCCAGCAGTTGTAGGCAAACAGACACACATTGAGGAGTTTAGAAGGCAAAAAGAAATAATAAATATAAATATATATATACTTACTGGGCTGTTGTACCTTTCTGCATTCGTCATACTTCTGTAAAAAGTGGTCTAACGTATCCCAACCTCCGCCAACGCGCACCATGACGTGACTTCGAAGAATCTGCCCAAAGTAAAAGCAAACAAATAGGCGAGGAAGAATGCAGTACCACCGTAGAAGCTGTCCAGTCAATCCAACTTTCAAGCATCGGACAGAGGCTACGTTAACACAATCAACCTCCACCTTATTCTAGCCATTTTCAACAGACCCATAAGTATTGAAGCACCTTCTTTTACTACCTCTTTTTGCAACATTTTGACACAACTCGTGCCATCTGAATGAGACCAACTTTGGCAATACTTGAATGGTCGTGTCAAACACCTGTAAGTGATACACGCCTGTGTATTCCAACGAATGTAAACAATCTATCAGCTCGGTTTTGTTCAATGATAACGCCTCAAACCTAAAATTTGAAAGCGTCTGTTTTACGGAGGGACAACCGCCATTAGAAATGATTCCAACGGAGGATGCAATTGTGGCAATGAATCAACTGCAAATCTTCGCCCCAGTAAGATAGGCATTTTGAGTTCAATAAGAAGATGTGGGATTTGTAAATCTATGTGAATTAACAGATAACATCCAATCCCCTCCACTATTTCCGTGGCTTTCGACTCTTCCCTCACGCAAATTGTAAAATCATGCCGTCTTTTAGCTTCTCATAAGCAAATTTTCAGCACCACGTGACAGTGGAATGCCTTACTGACTATTCTTCTGGAGTAGCTTTGCTTTGTTTGCCTACGTATGAATGGTGAGCCAAAAAAAAGAAAAAAAAAACACCCCACACAAGTCTCCTGCTCCCTGCTTTGTCTCGGAGACAAGTTTCCCAACCCACGAGAAGAGTGCTACCTCAGTTTCTGGGGAATTACAACCTTCTGTCGTGGAATAGCTGAAAACTAAAGCCTTCTATCAACAACAAAAGGCGCAATATAAGGCGTGGAATAATAATAAAACTGTTGTGACAGAGGGGATGAGACTTACACGAACAAAGATTTGTGTGCTCTTGTCACCGAAGAGATAGCGTCCCTCACTCAATCGGATCATGGGAAAGGTCTGTTCACATGTACATTGGGCCAATTTTTCCCGAACCTGAAGCACCAAACAACACAACAATTACTTTATTGCCTGTGTTTGATGATTGTACACACTTAACACGTGACTGCAATGACTTCAGATGCTGCAAATTTTCGTGTTTATGCTTGTGAAATGCATTCTATTTGGTTGTTTCATTTGGATTACAGAAAGGTGGCCGCCTATCCCCAATCGACATTTAGAGGCTGCCAA